AAGCAACATATAAATTTTTACCGTTGTGGAAGAGCAAATAATCTTTTTATAAGTGGAAATTCAATTCAAGCTAACCCTAAGATGAACAGTTGAGCCCTAGATAAGGTATTTAAGTTTCAAACAATCAAACAATGACCTAATCTTTTACGACATCTTTTGCCTGAGGGAGATGTTAAATGCACCACACAAATATCATACAAATCCCTTTGGCGTTTTAATTGACTAGTTTAGCTAAACTATCTTATTTAAACTTTGCGAAATGAATGAGCAGTTGTTTTCTGCTCAAATCGCATTACCTCCTTTAACAAACACTACATGGTTTTGATGAGTGATGATTCTCTTTAAGTTTTTCCAAAGGCATTGTGGCAATTATGTCCTTAGTGTTTACCAAAATCAGGAACCTCTTATGCATAAATCAAATTAGCTTTTAGCGAGAGTACGAAACCTTATCTAGATATGACATAAAAAGAAGTGCTCTCCTCATAAAACGGAATCAACTTAATGAATTTGCAGTTATTTGAATTTTTGAGGTTTGACAGCATCCATCAGTACATTCATTATCTCCTCTTCCCTCCTTTCTCTTCTCTCTCTTCTTTTGTTTTTAACTCAATCAAAGAATTCGTACACGACAAAGATTAAATTGGAACTTGTCGACGTTTGTCTACAATTTCCTGTGATATGGATTACAGATTTGCACGAACGCTGTGTTGACGCATATTGCCGTAATACCTACTGAAAGTTACACCTTCCATTGTTTTGTGCTGCCAAGATATTTTCGAGAAGTGAAATTAGAATCTGATTGTGTAGACAAACATCGATGTTTTAATTTATGGTCATGTGCGTCATGCATGTTCTTGATTGAGTATTGAAGGCAAAAGAGTGAGATAGTGAGAAGTTTAAGGGAATTAATGAACATTTGGTGTTCCATTAAGTTTTGCGTAATTTATTAATGTTACAGCGTAAATGTTATAATTATCAGTGATCATTACTTCACATGCTGTGAAATATCGCTACCAACTGGTTTCTTACCATTATTCAAGTAGTCACCATCGATGCGAGGTATAAAGGCTTTGATTTTGAAATTCAAGATACTGTGCTGGGTTGCTATGGTTACAGTATAGTACTGCAACCACGATAGTTTACTTGCTGTCAAAGATCGATTTGTCGCAATAACTGCCAATTTAATCGGCTTTTGTTAAACGTTCTCTGCCATGCTTATTCTTGAGTCCGATCTCGTCGTAGCTACGGTTTTTAATTACTCCTCTGTTAGGTAAGCATTTTGCTTTCGGAAATGCATAGAGGTTAGCGCATTAATACATTTGATTCTTCTTATCAAAAAATTGTAATGCAAAGTAGTAAAGCCTACAAGCTCCTTATAGCAGCTGAAGTACGATAGAGTCTTTCTATGAATAATGTGGAATGATGTTTTTGTATCTCTCCACTTGTTTTGATAATGACTGACAGCCAGTGTTCGGTGAGTAAATAACCGTAGTAGTTCTTCCATATCAATCGTTTTAGAAAACTTCTGATTTTTTAGGTTTCTACAGGTTAGAGCTATGTATATTGAGTTTTCATTTCGCTGAATCTGCAATGGTACACAAGAAATTTGGACTGCTTTGTTTATAGTTTGTGTTACTATCCAACTTTGTTTATAGTTTACGTTGGGAATGTTCAGCTCGGTTAATAGCAAATGTTGTACTAATCAAGTAGTGATTAGTGTGCATACGTGACATCAGGTTTCCGTTAAAACACATTATCTGTAAATTAGAGCGCATTGCTCAGCGTTCATTGTTATTTCAAATGCCGGGAGTTTTGTCGCTGAGAGTGGTACTCCTCTACATGTGGTTTCTCTTATAAACACTAAGCAGCGCACTGAACAACAGTGCACATCACATTGATTCTCCTCATTGGCAACACCTGTTCCATAATTAGCTGTGAGGTTCTGCTTATGCTACACAAGTCCCTCGTTGGCGCAGTGTCTGTCGCTCACCGCATGTGGTCGTCGTCGCTCGCAGAGTCGAGCAGGTTTTCCACAGCGTGCCATGTCTCATTCACCTTGCGCTTGTCGATCTTTTCATTTGAGACTTGAGCGTAATAAAATCGACGCATCTCAATGTTCTGCTCTCGAAGTTGACCCTGACATTGTCCGTTCGTTGCATTTCTTCTTCGGTCTTTTCGAGATGCCTCTTGCATGCAGTTATGCCTTTTGAGCTTCATTTTGTATGGTGTTTACAATCATGTTGGTAAGGAGCTCTGATCAGCAAACTTTTAAG